CAGTCTTCTTAACAATACATTTCTGTGGAGAATAAGCAGGTTTTGCATGTCATGGAGATTGGGATGAGAAATGGTTGTTCTTCATTACTGATCTAAGTTTGCACATTAGCGCTGTGAATTTTAGCCGCGTCTTCAAAGCCAGACGTGAGCCAGTGAGTATTGGCTCTGGCTGAGGTCTGGATTTCATCTGCTGCACACTCCCTTCAGCAGCCTGATTGATGAGTCTGTTCTGTATGCTAGGTGTGCCCTTGCTGTTGTTATTGCTCCAATTGGCTATGTCCCTAGGGTGCATTATGGAACCGAGGCCTGGTGCTCAGAGGGCACTGGGTCAGGATACAGATGGTACCAGTGGTGGGTGTGGATATCTTTCAGAAAATAGACGTACACCCTGGCCAGTGTGGCTCAGATAGGTGAACATCGTCCTGTGCACCCAAAGGTTGCTGGTTCAATTCATGGTCAGGGCATATAACCAAGTTGTGGGTTCCATCCCTGGTAGGGGGCGTGCAGGAGGTAGCCAATAAGTGTTTCTCTGTCTCTCCCCCTCTCTCTCTAAAAATCAATAAACTATTCTTTAAAAAGAAAAGAAAAGAAAGGAAACAGACTTACTGGTGTAATGAGAAGTAATCTGTTGGGCTCTAGAGCAGGACCATGTCCAGCACAGGCCTTGTTTGGCTCCAGACCATCATATCCCTTCAGGCAGGAGAAGCCCGGATCCCTGTGGGAATGCGGATTTGGTTCTGAGAAAGTCCATGTGCAGAGAACGGATTTCTTTTCTTAGAAGATGTGTCTTCACGTGTTTCCTTTCACACAGCGACTGTCGGGCAGGCTCTGATCCCCATCGCAGACGCCCCTTTTGGGAGTGAGGGTGGCCATGCTGGTGCCTGCTGTGCATGTGTCGCGTGAGCCTAAAACTGAATTGAAAACCAAATGCACAGCACGCTTGCTCCAGGGGCATTAGCCCAAAGAGGGGATGTGTTCCAGTGGAAAGCACACCACATTACTGGGTTGTTTCTGAAAACTCGATCTGTGCTTCCCACTTCCCAGTGGGAAAGCGGCCAGAGCCCCTCCATGCTGCGAGCAGGCCGCCTGTAGCCGGAGGCAGTGGGACCTGGCCTGCTCCAGTGTCTCCGCTGGTTTTATGGGCATATTTCTCACACCCTGTTCACTATTAAAAATAAAATGAGGCACACATCACATGTCTCAGACTGCAAGATCCATTTCCTCCTAATAAGCTTCTCGTTTGGCTGGGCTTCCCTTACACCAACTCTCCAGAGGTGCCCATTATGGATTTCTAGTTTCGTACTTTTTTTAATTTTATTTTTTTACTCTCTGATATTTTGAAAGAAATTAAGTTAGTGAGCTTTATCCTGGGAGCCAGGAGCGGACATTCTATGCAAACAGTGGAGGAAGGCTTTGTCCACCTACCTGGGGGCCACAGAAAACAAAACTCTGAGCCAGTATGTGCCTGCCTGCCCTGTGCTGGGCTGGGTCAGGGCCTGCCTGGTTACACACTACAGATGGGACCAACCACGGGGTTTTGAGGCCTGGAAGGAGCATGTCCCTTCACAGTAGGGCAGTGCTGGGGTGACCCCATCTTTGGTCTGCCTTACCAAATCCGGGAGCCTTGGGGTGAGGCAACTCTGGGAGTAGCCCAAGAGCTGGGTAGGGATCAGCAGGCACACACGCCAAGACCTTCATTTCCAGACCAAGTTCTCCAACACCCGCAACCAGGCCCCTCCGTGGTGTCCAGTGTAAGGAAACAGACTCATTAGTTGGAAAGGTCTAGAGCAGGGGTCCTCAAACTACGGCCCGCGGGCCACATGCGGCCCGCCGAAAACATTTATCTGGCCCGCTGGGTGTTTTTGCCGCCCCTGTGTGCATAGGAATTTGTTCAAACTGTAGTCCGGCCATCCAACGGTCTGAGGGACAGTGAACTGGCCCCCTGTTTAAAAAGTTTGAGGACCCCTGGTCTAGCGCATGCAGGGGGAGCACAGGACTAGGGCCCCGTCCTGTCAACATGAGGACATCACCCTTTCTGAGTGATAGCAACAGCCCAGAGCGTGCAGGCTGGAATCTGAGGGGTGGGAAGTGGAGATGGCGCCTGGGGAAGGGAGTGGTCCAGAGGGCACGGGGCAGGGCTCTGCCTGCAGCTGACCCTCCAGCTGGCCCACCTGGGACCCTGGCCTCTTCTGTGACCCCAGGTAGAGCCCTTGCCATCATCTGACATTTCCTACTGTTGCATAGTACAAGTCAGCCCCGCGTAAAACCCTGCTATAACAGCCAGAAGGAGACCCAGCCCAACCTATTTTTCAGATGGAGAAACGGATGGGAGTGGAGACTGTTTCAGAGCCAGACAGGCTTCCTCCTGTGCTCACTCCCACCTCAGGGACTCAGTCTCCGCATCCACCTGCCCCTGGTTTCTGGGGTCTGGGCTCAGGTGAGGCCGTGGTGTCTGTCACAGTGTCCTTGAGCACCGTGCGCCATGACCTCAAGCTGAGCAGCAGCACTAAGCTCTTCTCAGGCCGCCAAGGACTTGGTAGGAAAACATATGGCCCCCATAGGTAATCCTGGGCAGGTTTTGTTGACGAGAAAGCCTAAAAGTGCAGACAAACGCCTTGATTCAGAATTTGGAGTGGACTAAAGTTTTTTTTTTCTATATCGTCAACGGAAAAACGAGCATTTGAACAAAAAATTAATAGGGTATGAAAGAGAACACAGCTTCCTGTTCTTCTTTTAAACATTTTAACAATGTCACCGATCTACAGAAAGAAGGGCTTAGGGATCCTCGTGGCTAACCAGCTCTTTTTACATATGAGCAAACTGAGGCCTCAGGCTTTGGCTGCAAACTTAATTAGCTAATCCACCTGGCCAGGAGCCGAGGGTCCTGACTCGCTGGCTGGTCTGGTCTCTGCTGGAGCCCACATTTATTAGCAGAAAGCATTCAGCATCCTGAATTGGTCTCAATGATGGATTTGCTACCAAAGTACGATCCTAATTTATTCAGACCCACCATCCATTGAACAGCTGTCTGTCTAGCGCCTCCTTCTGAGTGCGAGTGGGAACATACAAAGACGAATGAAGTGTATGAAGAGCTTAGAGGAGAAGCCCTGGTTTCTACACCAGTCATCTTATTTCTAGATGGGTCATCTAGATGTTATGTGAAAGTAATGAATGGCCTACTGAATGGTTGACAGAAAGGGAAATGACTTTGGCTGCAGTGAGCAAAGATGTTTTTGTGGGTTCCACAGCTTGTCCTTGACTTGCCCTTGAAGGACTAATTTGATTTGGCAGGTAAAGAGGAAGGCAGGGTGTGTCAGGTGAAAGAACTGGGTGGCATAGTGCAGCAGTCTCATAAACAGCCCCCCCGAAGTATCAGGTGCTCATCCCGGGAACCTGTAATTGCTGCCTTGGCACAAGGGGTTTTGCAGATGTAATTAACTTAAGGATCTCCAGATGGGGAGATTATCCTGAATTGTCTGGTGGCCCCTAAATGCAAACATAAGGCTGCTTATCAGAGGGAGGCAGAGAAGATCACAGACAGAAGAGGAGAAGGCAATGTGACCACAGAGGCAGATAATGGAGTGATGAGGCCACAAGGCAAGGAATGCTGGCAGCCACTGGAAGGTGGAAGGAGGCAAAAACAAATCCCCCCCTAGAGCCTCCAGGGTCCCTGTCCACACCTTGACTTTGGTCCAAAGATACCGATTCCAGACTTCTGGCCTTCAGAGTGAGATAAATTTCTGGTGTTTTAAGCCACCAAATTGTGTTACAGAAGCCACAGGAAATTAATGTAAATAGGAAAGGGCAGAGCCTGTGTAGGAAAGGGTGTGGTTCAAGGTATCTGCTGGGAGCAATCAGATATTTAGAAAGGTGGACACTGAATGGATTAGGGCCAAGTGTCCTGTAATAGTTTTAAGAGTTCCTGCAAGTTTCTGTGTGGCTCTCACCTTCCTGACTGGAGTGTCGGGATCTGAAGGAGCACCAGGACTCCCAGCAGGTGCTGGTTATTTCTCTGCGGTACAGACAGCCAGTACTTGTTGAATGACATGACGAAGGCTGGCAGCTGCCCTACCTGGGTTTGCACTGGGTTTACTGATGAAAAATCAAAGCTGGCCAAATCTGGTGCGCAGAGACGATGGATGGATGAACGTCTCATCTTCAGGCTGTGATCTCGAATTCATGTCATGCCTCACAGGGTTGCGATGTGTTAGGAAATGCTCAGCCAACCCAGCACTAGCACTACACGGGCTCTGGAGGGAGGGACTCTGGGTGGAAAGCAGAGCAAGTCCGGTTGGGGTAGGAGGATGGGAGACCCCCTGCCGGAGGGAAATGGCCTTGTTGACAGCAGAGTCAAATTCTCTGCCAGCCCCAGGGAATGTGATTAAAGATGTTTTTTGGGTTTTTATGACACTCCTATCGATCTGAAGTTGTTTATAGCCATAAAACAACTGTAAATTACAGGATGAAATAAAAACAGCAGGATACTTAACTCCTATCCTACTACGAGGTTGAGAACCTCTCTGCACAGCTCCTGCAGCAGCAGGGAGCCGGATGTAAGTCTGTATGGGAATCTCATTCCCCTTTCCTCCTGATGGCCAAGGTTAAGAGGCAGCCCTTCTCCTCACAGATGAAGCCTCATCTTCATCCTCGCTCAGGAGGTGTCCTTGGTTAACGTGATTCTCTGCTGGGACCGCTGTCTAACTGTGTACCTACTACAGTGTTTTAGGATTGCAGGGCCAGTTACCTCCTCTGTCCAAAGCGCTTTTCCTTCCTCCCCTCTCCTCCTGTCCCTTTTTCCCTCCTACCCCTTTTTTTCTTTCATTTTCTCTTTCTTTCTTTTTTGGGGTTCCTCTCTTGGCCGTTCTTTTATTGAAATAAAGGGTTTTGACATGTCACTATTTGTAAAATAGTTAGGAATTTTCAGTATACAATCACAAATAATTTCAATGCTATAGACCAAGCCAAGTGACCATTGGACTTTCTTTGCTTTCTCCTTGTAGAAATCCGAGAGGCCTTTCGGGTTCTGGACCGAGATGGGAATGGCTTCATCTCCAAGCAGGAGCTGGGAATGGCCATGCGCTCTCTGGGGTACATGCCGAGTGAGGTGGAGCTGGCCATCATCATGCAGCGCCTGGACATGGACGGTGAGACCCTGCCAGCAGCCTCTCCCCAGATGAGCCTCCACTCATTAGCGAGACTTTTGATTTAAAGGGCCCTGCACTTGGAGTCAAAAGATGTGTGTTTATGTCTTGGCTAACATTTGAGGAGAAGGAACTTGGACTAGATCATTCCATTCAGCTCTAGATGCCTACAGAGCTGGTTCTGGGGCCATGAGAGGGAACAGGGAGATGAAGGTTTGGCTGACAGAGCACTGAGAACAAGGTTGTTTTGTGTGTGTGTGTGTGTATGTGTGTGTGTGTGTGTGTGTGTGTGTGTGTGTGTGTGTGAAACAGCTTTATTGAGATTGAATTCACACATCATAAAATTCACTCATTTAACCTATGGCACAAATTTGTGCAACCAAAGCTATAATCAATTTCATAACATTTCACCACTCCAAAAAGAAGCCCTGTGCTTCATAGCCATCACCCCCAACTCCTCAGCCACCCTCAGCCTTAGGCAACCACTAACCTGCTTTCGATCTTTCTGGATTTGCCTCTTCTGGATATTGCACACAAATGGAGCTGTGCAGCATGTGGGCCTTTGTAACCGGCTTCTTTCGCTTCACATGATGCTCGCATGTTCATCCATGTTGCAGCACAGGTCAATACTTTGTCTCTTTTATGGCCAAATCATATTTTATTATGTGGCTATAACAGCTTCTTTTCTCTCTGTTTTACATACTGGGGAAAAGAGTTTCATTGCATTAGATAATCTTTAAGGCCCCCCCCCCACACACACACACACATACTCTAAAACCCTGCAAGTCTATCCCAAACTAGTGTGACCCTCCTGACATTTATACCTGCCTGAGCTGAACGTCCAAGGAGGAGCCTTCTTATTTACTTATTTCTTGTTAATACATATACTTACCAACTCTGAAAAGCAGCTTGATTCCAGGCATAAGGGGTGCATAGTGGTGGACTGTTGGGACTCTTGATGGAACATGCCGTATAGACTAAGTGAAAGAAAGCAGAGAAGGGGCCCAAGAAGTCTTTCTGAACCAAGGCCATTGTAGGGAGATGTTTGCTTGGGCTGCAGGCTAATTGGAAGAACGGGGCTCTCTGCTAGTATCCTGTGGAACTTGGAAGATGGACAGTTGGATGACCATGTGGTGAGTGAACCACAGCACCGGCCTCCAGGTGCAACCGTGGACATTCCCTTTCCAGTTGAGGACAGAGATGCTGTATCAGGATGTTCGGTTGTGTGAGCAGACCAAGCCTTGGCCTTGCAGCTTTGATGGATTGTGAATTATCTTGTCTTTGCAGGCTTGACTGGACCGTTCTTGAATTTTAGAAGTATTTCTGAAAAGCTCAAGCAAAGCACATATTGTATAACAAAACTGCTTTCCCATGGACTCCCATCATTATTTCACAGATACATTTCCAGAAAAAAGTTTTCTCTTTAAAATAATAAACATTTTAATATATACATCTGTATATGGAACTAAGGGTTTTGTGCTTTAAAATATATATATATTGTTGACAGTATTACAGATGTCCCCCATTTTCCCCCTCCTATTCCCCCCTCCACCAGCCCCTACCCCCTCATTCCCTCACAGGCCTTCTCCACACTATTGTCTGTGGGCTGTGAACATAAGTATATAAGTTCTTTGAGGTTTTGTGCTTTGATTCTCCCCACAACTAGTATAATAAAACCTAGTCAAATGGACTAAAAGCAAATGGAATTAGCAACATTTAATAAAAAACAAGCGGGAGCTTTTGTTGGAGAGTAACTCTTAGGAGACTGGCGGGTCTTCATCAGAGTCAATCCTTGTTCTTTGTGTATCACTCAATGTTCCCCCGCTTATGAGGAATTTTTACATTATTCCAAATCTTCCCTGATTCCTTGAGGCCTTGGAGTCCCGAGGGATCTCATGCGATGGTTATTTAAGGGGCTCATCAGGACTCAGGCAAACGCTCCGTATGGGATGCAATTTAAGAGACTTCATATTTCACCAGGTTGGGTTTTTTTTTTTGCAACTTATACTCAGGCACCAGTGCCTGAAGGCAGAATTTATAAGCAAATCTTGCAGAGAATTTCTCTTCGTTCCTTTAACAAAAGCCCGAGTCATTTTCTATTTCACGGTGACCACATCAGGTAAAATCACATTTATTTACTTTTGAAGCACAGCTTCCTCGAAGTTCTGTTGCCTACAAAAGATTTAATACAGAACACCCGAAAACAGTGCTGCTGTGTAGGCAGAGGAATTGCCGACACAATTTATTAAATGCCTACGAGTATAGAGCTGCATGAAAAATGCCCAGTCTGAGGGGAAATGTGGTCTTTACATGGTTTGTGAATGATGCTGATAAGTGAAATTTCTGGGGTACCAGGTTCTGGACGGTGCTTTTCAGTGTCTTTCTCTTAATGGGGGTCTTTTGAGCTGTTCTATTTTTTAAAAAGTCAGGTTCTAATTATATCCTTCCTTCCTAGCTTCTGTAACTGAGAATTCTCCACAGAGATTTGGCCATACCTAATTAAACTTCTCTTTGGCGTGAACCTTGTGGAATGGTAGAGATTTTTATGGGGATGATGCCAAAAAAAAGGAGTGCTTGGGCCAGAACTGAGGACTCTTACCTGTAAGATGTCTGTGCCTCCCGGCCCACAGGTCCTGACCCCTGGCCCTCAGGGGCTTCAGGAGAGGTGGCTGTCGTCGCCCATCCCAGCCGGCTACGATTAGGAGCAGGTCTGGCCCACACACCAGTCTTCTCTTTCTGGGGTCCCTGGTTTTCCCGACGGTGAGGTCATACCTTCGGCGCGAAGCCCAGCTAGAATTAGCCTGAGAGTGTGTGTGCAGCCTGAGTCAACACATGAGGCTTTCATTAGGTGGTTCCCTGGGAGTGGGTGCCTTGCTGGCTATGCCTGTAACAGTAGCCTCCCTGGATCAGGGAGCTCAGCGCAGTTTCCTGGACACAGAGCCTGCAGGGGCCCCACAGGTCCAGTCTATGTGTGGAGTTGGTTTTCTAGGGAACAGAATGGAAGACAGGCGGAAGGGGCTGGGATTGCTCTCTTGGCCCCGTGGCCAATTTCCCCTTAAGGCTGGGACTCTCTCTCTCTCTCTCTCTCTCTCTCTCTCTCTCTCTCTCTCTCTCTCTCTCTCTGTGTGTGTGTGTGTGTGTGTGTGTGTGGGTGTATTGCATGGGCTGAAATACTCAGTTAAGTACTAAATAGAAAACCAAATCTTTTGCCCCATGCCTTGGGCTTCCTCTTTGGCCCATCACTGCTAAGGTTCTTTCTTCGAACTTGACCCACGTTGTGCACTCCCTGGTGATCACTATCCCACTCTTTTCATCAGCCTCTGCAGCGAGGTTACTGCCCTAAAGCCAGTCAGGGACAGTATTCACACTTCCCGGATGCTTTTTTTTTTTTTTTTTTGCTGGGATCTCTCCTTCAGATTCTCTCCAGTGCATCATGGCACTAGTTATGTACCATCCCGGGAAGGATTGATAAAACAGCCCCCCAGAAAGTATCTCCGAAACTTAAGTCTTTTACAGAGGTGGCTTGAGAAAGGCTGAGTGAAAGTGACTGTGACTATGGGCTCTACCACGCTCCAGCTGCTCCCTCAGCTCTGTGGTCCCCCAGATCCCAGGCCTTCCCAGCCTGCTGCATCATTCTCCCGGCGATACAGACTTGGTGTCTTCAAGCCCAAGGGATATTTTTGCCTGCTTTCTACAACCACACCACTGTGGCCATCTGGAGTGAATCCAGCTAGCTTTGCAAGTAGTTCCCTGAAACAGCCAGACCAGGAGACGTTCACAGCAGCCTGTGGCCCTTCATTGCCCTGCTGTGTTTCCTAACAATTCCCTCTTCTTCCTAAAGAATGAAAGTTCCTCCCTCTTTGAAACAAACGTAGACCTTGCCCTCTTCCTCCTTAATTCCCTTCTGCTCCTCCACGATGCAGAATCTCATGGAATTCCTACAAAATTTGGGGTTTTTTGAAAAGAATTCTTGTCTCTCAACAGGTTTGTAGTGTTTTGTTTGTTTCCGTAGGTTCACCACTGCTTGGATAGTAGCTTTGATTCAGTTTAGCTCAATGCAAAAAGGATTTATCTGGTGTCCATTATGTGTGAATCCGGCTTATTTTTATGGTTGGAAAGATTCACTTTTGATTCATTTTGAGGCAAAACTGAGCTGCAAAGGACAAAATGATGGCCAGAGTCCCGTGGGAAAGTTAGCAGTGTCATTGCTGTTAGCCTGAATGTCCACACCTTCCCTCGCTCACCACCCATCTACTGCAAGTTTTAGTCCTGTGCTGATTATTCCTAAGATTCTGACCTTTCTATTTTCATTTGCGATCTCCTACCTGATAGAAGAGAGAAGAGTAAATGCTTAATTCTGAGTAGCGCTCACGTCCGCTTCCCATTCCAAACACATCAGGGCGCTGACTTGGATGCTCTGGGTCTGGCAGGGGTCTCCTTTGTGAGCTAGAATACACACTTCTCTCCTGGGAGTGGGGGGAGGTGCTGTCCACAGACTGCACGGTGTGGAAATGCCACGCGTGGGGTGGAAGCAGCTGAGGCTTTTTAGCCAAAAGCAGAGGGTCCCAAATCTGAGTGTACCCCAGAAAATACCCAGAGGCGTGTTAATAAAAATAAAACAGACGAACAGAATCAGAATCTCCAGGATGGGACCCAGGAGCCTGCACCCTTTAACAAGCTTGTCAGATTATGGACAGCAATATGTGTGCCTTGCTGTAACTGGGGCCCCTTTGGTCAAAAGAAAAATCTAAAGCTAAAGAGAAATCTTCAGGCCTGTGAATATTTGTCTGAGCAAAGGCCTGAATAGAAGGTCAATGCCTGAGAGGCAGATAAGGCATTTTCACTTTGGGACTTCGATGAAGGAAGCGGACAGGTCGGTCAGCCCTGCCCGAAAGCAGGCGCCCTGCTTCTCACATTCAGCTTCCTTGCTCCTCTAACTGTTCCAGGGACCTGCAGATTCCCCATCACCTGGGGGCTTGCTTAAAATGAGGCACCTCGCTTTC